AGAGTTTTCATTGATTCACTCCACCCCGATCTTGTTGAAAAGATAGCTGAAGAAACCTCAGTATGCTACTCAGACTGATACCTAATTCCGCTTCCGTTAGTTGGCAAGTTTCCGTAAAGATTCCTGAAAGATAATTGAAAACACAGTGCGGGTGCACTCATATACATTCACTACTGTTAGTAAATAAGTTGCTGAAATGCTTTTTGTTTGTTCAATGCTTTGTTATAATGTTTTGAAACGTTTGAGAATAATGGAAGTTTTGGAAATTTTTAATTTATTTTTTTAACGGGAAAATCATGCGTAAATGAAATCGTCGGCAAGCGAAAGCAAGTTATTTTAGTCCTTCAAATTCCACGAGACCTGGTTTGTGATTTGAGCAGAAAGTTGAGCAATTAATAACAAGCTGAAATACTTGTAAAGCCCTAGTGTTCTTTCCTACCTACTATTCCAGCGGTGTAACTGATCGCGTTTTGGATGCATCACCAAATACAGTCTGGCGTGTACGGGTACGAGCTGAGAACGAGGCTGGTGCATCGGACTGGAGCAAAGAGGTGTCAATTACAACTGCTGAAGGTCTTTTATTAGCTTATTAATTCAAGAGCTCTTGGGGTACTGCAAATGAAATTTCCGGGAATTAACTACTTTCTAAAACGAATTACTCTCAGGAAGGTGAATTTTGATTCCATAGCTGACTTTTTTGATTTAGTGCTCTAATTTTTCTTTTTTTACGGTTACAGTTCTTTTTACTATTCTTGAGCGTTTACAATTTTGCGTTAACGCAGTAAAAAACTGGATATTAAATATCGACTGTATGCAACTGCAAGTAGATGAAAACAAATGGAGACGAACGAGACATGCATGCATTAATAACATATATATGAACAGGAAAAACCAAAATTATATGTGTAAGTTTATGTATGTATGACCAAATAAATTAACATACACATGTTAAATATTAAACTTGTCAGTGCGCGGAAAATTTCATGCACATATAGTATTGTTGCCGTTACAACAAAAAAAGGAGGTGGACTAATTTTCAATTCGTTGTTAGACTAAGGATGTTGCAGTTCCTCTTTATTGTCTATATTTTATTGTAAATTAACTGTACAATCTCCGCAGATTTATTAATTTACCCGAAAAAATAGAAGTTTTCCTTATTTATCTTGCCAATGCGGTGCGATGGTATCGATATAATCTCTAACGGATTGTAGGTGCGCCAAGCGCAGTACAAGACCTTGATGCTCGTCCATCCGGACCGGAAGCGGCAGCAATCTCCTGGCGTCCACCGGCGCAGCCGAATGGTGAAATTACGGGATACACGTTGGTATACCGGCTGAAATCTAGGGGTGAATGCGGTCCACGATCAGCTCAGCCAATCACGAGAAACACACTTGCTGAGGGAATCCTGCTTGACGGCCTCTTACCTGATTCAACATACGACGTTCATGTTACCGCGCACACTTCACAAGCGGGCCCACAGTCTAACATTGTTACCGTTACTACGAATGAAGATGGTGAGCTAATTTCTTATTCGTTTCTCTAAATTAGCTTTTGTTTTTCACTTATAAATCTCGAGCTAATTACCTCATCGATGTGTGAAACTGGGAACGGCTAGATAGTGTCGGGGCCAACGAAGCAAAAACCCTGAACGACACCGCGGTGTTTTAAGACTCAGTTTCCGCCAAACTGGAATATTACTGTCGCTCTTTTGGTCCAGAAGTTCTCAGAAGTGATATGGAATGGTATACAAGGCGATTCAGAGATCTGGTGATGGTAAGGAGAGAAAAAGAAAAACCCCAGGCCCAGTTGTAAGCACATGGGCTAATAAACAGTGAGCACCGTAATGTGCGCGGCAACAAACATTCATCCAAAAAGTTATTCCAAGATGCGTTGGAGCGACTGCTCTAGGATATACAGGATTGCCCTTCGTCGCTATACCTTACCTACTAAATGTTAACTATGAAGATGAATATTTAGAGATTAACATCAGGTTGCGGGAAAGGCTAGAAGTTGGGTGAGGGACTGGGATTACGGGACGGGCGGGGAATTGCGAGAGGGGCAGGACTGCAGGGAAGGGGGAGTTTTGGGTGTTGTGAGGTGGATTTTGGTATCGCAGGGAGATTTTTCGGTTCCGATGGGGAAAGTTTCAAAGATGTGGAAAGGGGTTTCTACAGCGGTGCGGGAAGGATTGCGAAAGTGAGGTTTCAGCGGTGCGGAAAAGGAGGTTTCGGAGTTTCAAGGGAGTGAGGGTGCGAGGAAGCGGTTGTGCAGTTGAAGGTAGCTTAGTTGAATTCAGAAGTGTGTGAGTTGTAGAAAATATTGAAAAGCTACACACACACACACAGGTAGAGTTGTTTCGCTGTGGTAAATACAAAAGGATATGGTAAGGACAAAG